TATATATATATACTGTTGTTGTTGCTGCTGCTGCTACTGCTGCTACTGTTGTTGTTGCTGTTCCTGTTGATGCCGCTTTGGCTGCTGCTGCTCCTTTGCTGCTGCTGCTGCTGTTGTTGCTGCTGTTGCTGCTGCTCTTGCTGCTGCTGCTACTGCTTCTAATACTGTTGCTACCGTTGTTCCTGCTTGTGCTGCTGCTGCTGCTGCTGCCTTTGCTCCTGCTGCTGCTGCTGCTGCTGCTGCTGCCTTTGCTCGTGCTGCTCCTGCTGCTGCTGCTGCTGCTGCTGTTTCTGATACTGATTCTGCTTCTGCTGCGGCTGTGCTGCTGCTGCTGCTACTGTTGCTGCTTTTTCTTCTTCTGACACTGCTTCTGCTGCTGCTGCGGCTATGCTGCTGCTGCTGCTGCTGCTGCTGCTGCTGCCGCTGCTGCTGCTGCTGCTGCTGCTGCTGCTGCAGATGAGATGGACCCTGGTGTTGAGGAGGTTCAGGTCGCCTGGGCGGACGGCACTGTCTCCAATGTACGCTGCAATCAGCTAGAACTTGGTTAGTTTATTTTATTTTTTTTATTTTTTATTTTTTATTTTATTTTGTTTATTTTGTTTGTTTTATTTATTTTGTTTATTTTATTTAGTTTATTTGTTTTGTTTATTTTGTTTTTTTTGTTTGTTTTTTTATTTTATATTTATTATTTACTGTCTCTAATGTACGCTGCAATCAACTATAACTTGGTTAGTTTTATTTATTTATTTATTTATTTTATTTTTATTTTTTTTATTTTGTTTAGTTTGTTTAGCTTGTTCTGTTCATTTGTTTTATTTTGTTTATTTATTTTATTTATTTTATTTATTTTATTTATTTTATTTATTTTATTTATTAAATAATTTATAAATTTATAAATTTACTAAAAAATTAATTTATATATTTCTCCGCCATTTGATTTATTTACTATCAGATAAATAAATAAATAAATAAAATAAATAAATAAAATAAATAAAATAAATAAAATAAACAAACAAACAAACAAACAAACAAACAAACAAACAAACAAAGGCCGAAACAAACAAAACAAAAAAAAAAAAAAAAAAAA